ACACACACACACACACGCAAAGTCTACCAGCACAAAAGAAATATTCAGCTGTAGAGAGGGGGTCTCCCAGAGGGCGCGACATTGAACTGGGGGTGGGTGGGGGGGGATTAAGTAGAAATGGCTGGCTGACACTGGGGTTGCCATGGCAAAGCCCCCTTTTTCTCCTCTCCCTTCGACCCTCCGCCTATTTTTCATTTTAGGTCTCATTGTGGGGGCGAGGTGTAAGTGTGTGTGTGTGTGTGTGTGACTGTGATGGAGTAGGGACGATCTAATTCGACATATGAATTTAGGCTCTTATCAGAAGCTGCCCTGCTTCACCCCGGGAGAAAAAGAGACCTCTGCTTCAGTCAGAAAGAAGAGAAACATCCGAACACGTGATTTTATTTATTTATTTTACAGGCGGGCAGCTTACAGATTTGTTACAGACCTGCTTTCTGCTGAGTATCATTAAATATTATGGTGCATTTTATTTAGCAGTTAATGTATTCCTGTCATTTAAAAAAATAAAAATAAAATACGACTTGAACATCTTTGCATGTACACAGAGGAAAGCATGCCACGCCAGAATGCAGAGGCAGTAATTCAAAGACGCGGCGTACGCACGGGACAAAAAACCGAAAAACAAATTGTCTGTTTTATGACTGAATTACAGCGGCAGTAATATGGCGCATTACTCATCCGCTGCAGCCGGGGCGTTATCACGCTAGCCTCATGCTGGCCTCCCAGCAGCCCCAGCAGAGTAATGGATGCAGGTCGAGCTCGCGCGATGACATCAGCACCCTAAGCCGATGAAATGGGGCGATGAATGACCATAGATCAGCGTTTACCACCCTGACGTCAGCCCCTGCTCTGTGCAGCAGTGCACTGACACCGCCGGCAGTTGTTCCCCCAGATACTGGTCCGCTTCGGACAAAGGGAGCTCACAGCAGGACGTCAGTATTGTTCTCCGGACTCGGTGTCCATAAGACCTGTGCCAGGATTGAAGATGGTTAAGCAGAACTGCTCACAGGGTCTTTAAAGAGTAGAAATACAAGCATATGCTTATATTCAGCCACATTACAGAAATCCATTTTCTCCCCAGTGCCCAGATATTTGTCTCTGAGATTTTATTTTATGCTTCCACCACAAAAAGACTGAAGATGAATGGAAGCACTACTTTGTAGTGAAGAAATGGCTCTAATGAACACCGCTGACAGAATGATATGTGGGTTATTTATAGAAGCTGGGACTTTGCTTCTGGAAAGATGGTTTCGGTATGTAACGTTTTAAATGTTTTTTTTCTCACTGCTGTGATCAAGAAAAACAAAAAAAGAAAACGGCATAAATCAAAGAGCTCAGACAGATCTCACAAAATCTACGCAAAAGAAGCCAAATTTATCCTCATGGCTACACACCACAGGAGGAAATGGAGAAAATGTTTGTCTGCGTGTGTGTTTTTCTTCTTCTTTCTTCATGTGTGTGGAATCAGTCTTTAAAGAGAAGAAGACTGTGGGATATCAGCGCTAACAACTTTTTCTTCATCTGTGTTTCAGATGCTGTTACGAGCAATTTTCATCTGAAGATGAAAGACTTCGTGTTCCTCTGATTAATGAGGTGGTAGTAAAGCTCTAAAGCAGAGCCTCTCAGCTTATGCTCGAGCTTAAGTATGCTTCGTGATGCTTTTGTGTGCGTGTGTGTGTGTGTGTGTGTGCGGGGAACATAACCAGAACTGTCATTGCCCTGAGGACAGCGGACTCATTCTGCCACTGTCTTGTGTCGTTATGTCCTCTCGTTACGCAACCTGACCTCTGTGGTTCTGAGCATCGTCCCCGTCCCCCTGTCCCATGCCTGTCTGACTGGCTCTCCTCCCTCCTCTTCCTCCACACCCTGCCTCCCGTGTCAGCTCGGCTCACGGTCACAGCTGCCGTCCTTCCTCGCCTTGCTTGCCTCGGTGAACATTCAACGCTGTCGGTGAGTTTGGTATGGACACAAAAAACCATCGACCGTTGACTGTGCCCCGTGGTTTGCTCCGACGACGTCAGGAACGAGCGAAGGAAGGAAAAAAAAAAAACGAACAAAGGGGCAAAGTGGCTGCATGCAAATCCGGTGACGAGAACAGACGCACACAGCCGCGCCGCACACAAAAGTGACACTCTGTTTCCACTGTACCCGAAGACCTAAGGTCACAATCAACATTCATTGCTGTCGCTGGGTTGGACTGTGTAGAAAAGCTCACTGAACAATGAGTGCAACTGTGGCCCAGATCTGCCTGACTCGCGTCTCAGCCAATCAGCCGGCCGGATGTGAGGCACTCTGATTATTTTATTTATATACTTCTTGTTTTTCACTTCTATTTTCTCCCTCCTTCCTCCCTCCCTGGCGCTAGGAGTCTTAAGGGGAAAGAGAAAGAGAGATAGAGACACAAATAGACTCCTGGCTGCTTGCTTGTCCTCATCCTCCTCTCCTCTCCTCTCCTCTAATTGATGGTTATGTGTGCAGCAAGGGGGAAGGAAGCGGAGTGAATGTGTAATCATTTGGAGTCTCTTCTCCTTTAGATGTTTCATCCCTCTCTTTTTTGTTTGTCTAATTATACACTGAGCTGAGTTAACTCTGCGTTAACTGTGCGCCTGTGCTGGCAAGAGAGACGGGCCGATGGAGAGGGAGGACAGGGAGGACAAAAACTCCAGAAAGCTTACAGCAGTAGATAAACGATTATCTAGTTTTCACTAGATTTTGCTCGATGTTCCCCCTCATGCAAACGTGCTGGGAGAAGGAAGGAAATTCCGGCTGTATAAAGTCGATTGTTTCCACCTTTCTCACCGAGGATGCCTCATTATCTGTGTTTGAGTTTCATGAGAGGTTTCCTGCCTGCCCCTGTTTGTTTGTGTGTGTGTGTGTGTGCGCTGGCTAAGATAGAGGACCTGTCTGGTGATCTCACGGAGCAATATGTCATTTTCCTTCTATGCTAAAGCCTGCTGTCTCATGGGGAGGAAAAAAAGCAGTCTATAACCTTGTCTTCCTTCACAGTCTGGGACCGGCCACACCGCTGCCATTTCTCATTGTAGCCGCCTGCAACGACTTCTGTAATTCAAGTAAGGTGAACGAAAAGCTCACACATGTGATGTATGGGTGTAGGAATATGTTTGTGTCACTGATTTGTCAATTAAACTAATAAAGTTGAATCAGTTCATTAGGCTGATGTGATTATTTACTATTTGGATTAACTCGTGTTTCACGTACGAACGATCTTTGTCATCTGTGTCATTTAGTCACCAAGTCCCATGTCCGTGTACCCCCGCCTCCCAAGTCTCTCTGTATTATTCATAGCAAAGCACTCTGTGCAGTGGTGCAGAAGAGTGGAGGTGATGTAATAGTGGCCGTGAGCGTGGCTTCGGACTGTCATTTGGGATGGATTCATGCGACAGGAGAAAACGCTCGGTTTGTTCAGCCTTGTTGGCGTCGCCAAAAGGCGCAGCTGATGGCAAGAGACGATAAATAAATAAAAGTGTCATCACAGTTTTGTTGAAATTAAACTCGGAAAGTTATCCAAACCATAAAATGTATAAAGGGAACAGTGTGAAAGCCCACATCGTGTGAACCAGTGTGTAAGAAGCTGGGATGCTGAGAGACACGAGAAGAAACCTCGGGAACAGACTTGAACTGGAAACAAATCCAAGTGTTATTGAAACGTTGTTTCACAGCACCTCAAAGTGACACTACCCCCATCTAGTGCTGAGCTGTACACAGCCTCCCTCTGTAACGACTGTGGAAATCATGTATCATTTATTTAGCATAGAGTAGCTGAGGGAAACTGACCAACCGCAGCCAAGTATTTTGGTTAGCTTTAATTTTTAATTAATCTTGCTTTTTTTTTTGTTTGTTTGTTTTTTACAGAAGTGCATGCCTTGTCATTAATCTTTAAAATTTTAAAATGCTTTGGAGCATTACAGAAAAAAAACAACAACATTACAGTGTTACAGTTCAAATCATTTCCAACCCTAGCTTTGGTTTGGTGCAATTAAAAGTGCTACATAAATTGGGAATTATCAATTTACAGTTCTCTTTCATGGAGCTAAAGTGGTCTCGAACTAGTTTTTTTTTTTTCTTTGGACATCGGCTGCTTTTTCACTTCTGACCATGTTCTATGAAGGATTCAAGCATAAAAAGGGCAGCGAACTCCAAGGATGAACCAGTGTTGTGTCGACAAATGACGGACAACTTGTTAAAGAACAAATGTTAAAAATGATCTTTACCCACTTTGTTATAAGCTGCTTTCTTTAAAAGACTCTATGATAATGATGATAGTAAGTGGTGTTAGGAATTATGATCACAGATAAGTACTGTCAGATTTTGGCCTCATCGTGATACAGAACAGAATAAAAGACGGCCAACATCTAAAAAAGAGCTTTGAATGTCCTTCAAGCTTTGAGAATTATTCCTGCAGACTACTTAGAGATTAAGAGAAAGCTCCATGAAGAAAGTTCAGCCTGTGTTGAAGAATAAAGCCGGTCACACTTTCTACATGTTTTTGCTTTATATACTTTATATAGACTCTATTTCTATTTATGTCTGTACATGTTTCAATAAATCTGGGAAATAAATCTCTCACTTTTCTAGCTAATTTGAAAGAAATTAGGGTGGGCTTAAGACCTTTGCACAGTATTGTATTGAAAATGTGTTCCTGACAGCACTTTGCAGCTGTACAGTCCTTTTGTATTTCTTATTTTGTCTACTTAAAAATCTTTCCCTCACTGCCATATTACATTATTACCATTAAAAAGATAAATTGCCGTTCTTTAATATTTACTCCATGTCTTACCCACAGACGCTTACCACTGCAGCCAAGTTTATCGTAGTGAGTAAAACTTAACACTAAAACCAATCAAATTTTAAGAAAATCTAATTTTGATAACTCTCTGCTGCCTATAGGCTGTTTCTGAATGAGCCTCGGTTCCTTGCATGCACAGAATCCAGCAAAATATAATTAAGA